GGAGTCCCCCATGGGCACTGCAAAGACAAAATATTGCATTGATCAACAGAAGATATAACGCCAGGTACAAGCAACCATATCAGCCACCAGGAATAGTCCCAAATAGACATTTTATTGTTGATTAACTGTATTGTAAGAATCTCACCAGAGATTCCACCACACATATTTCTCTACAATTTTTCATACATATACAAAGAAACCTGACAATTAAGAAAAACATTTATTTTGCCACTATTTTTCAGAATATAAATTACAATGGACTTTTTTTTTCCAAAAGTTTTGCTTCTTGAAAAACTTTTAATAATTTCAGAATGCATGTATAACATTGGGATTTTGCAAAATATGAAATTAACTTTTAATGATGAAAAATACATAATGTTTCTGACATGCTGCGGAAATGTGAGGAACTCAGGCCTTCTCTCGATCATCAATCCCACAACCAAAATACAGGTTAATGCTTTCTTAACAACTGCAGTCATGGTTTTTAAGGCTTAAACGTGTACTCACCACAAGTCTATAACTGGCTTGTTATGTAAATTACATGTACATAGACAATGCTATGCCTTCAAACAATTGCATCAAAATACACAGAAATTGATAACAAAATGGCACATGTGCTGCTTTTATAGCATTTCCAGGCAGCATCCATACAGCCTCAGCATGCCTAGGCATGCCCAAGTTGTACTAGATCCAGAAATGTTATGCAATATGCTGACTGCATGCCTGGACATGCGTGAACAACACAAAGTATCTTATGACGCAAGCAAAAAATAATAAATTTGAAATATATCTAAGAAATTGTAATAAACAGATGATTTATATAAAACAGCATGAAATAAGTTAAATTACAGGTTAGTTTCATGATTAGCAGTCAAAAATCTATAAAATACATCCAAAAGTTTATTTATAAGCCAAAGAGTTTCTTGTTGCTTGTTAATTTTAAACTTTTTAAAACTTGAATGCATAAGAAAGAATAAGATTAGACAGAAATCTAATTTTTATTTGAAAAAAAAAAATACAACAGCCCATTATCTCAAATATTACATTTTTATTTAAAAGAAAGTTACTGAAGTAGTGGGATGAGATTCTAAATAATACAAAGGTTTCTTCTCTTTCTATCCACTTTTCCTCCAATTTAAGGCAGCATCCATTTTTCTTTCTCCATTCCATTTTTTGTAATAGGACACAGTAAAGGTGAAGTTAAGGCTTAAGGATAATTATAATCCGAGACCTTTAGATATTACTGTGACATTCTAGATCAGGGGTGTCCAACCGTGGCAACTTTAAGACTTGTGGACTTCAACTCCCAGAATTCCTCAGCCAGCTGGCTGAGGAATTCTGGG